GATGGTCGTTGAGAACTTCTCATCCTTGCAGTTAAAGAAGGGGGTCAAAAGACATGAACCTACATTTCTGGCAGCCCTCTGCATTGAAGATATAGAACGCTCTTCGGGTCCCATTCCTACACTCGTGAAGGAGCTACTACTGGAGTTTGAAGATGTCATGCCACAAGATATGCCAAAGCGACTCCCGCCTAGGCGCACTGTGGACAATGAAATTGAGTTGGTACCGGGCGCGAAGCCACTCACCCGGGCGCCTTACAAAATGTCACAACCCGAACTTACCGAGCTTCGGAGACAATTGATGGAAATTCTAGACACAGAGATCATTGTGCCCTCCAAGTCCTTATACGGGTCCCCTGTTCTTTTCCAAAAGAAACATGATGGCAGCCTGCGACGCTGTGTGGATTATCGGGCTCTAAACAAAATCACCGTGAAGAACAAGTACCCTATTCCGCTAGTGGCAGACTTGTTCGATAGATTGGGTGGTGCGACGGTGTTCACCAAGATAGACCTGAAGACAGGTTATTGGCAAGTTCAGATTGCAGAAGGGTGATGAACACAAGACGACCTGTGTGACAAGAGATGGGTCGTACGACTTCCTGGTTATGCCATTCGGCTTGACAAACGTCCAGCTACACTTTGCACTCTGATGAAAGTCTTCCGAAAGTATATTGACGAATTCGTGGTGGTCTAATTGGATGACATTGTGGCATATAGCCAAACATTGAAAGAACACCTGGTGCACTTGCGGAAGGTCCTAGATCGATTGAGGGAGCATGAACTATATGCGAAGCTATCCAAGTGCTCCTTTGCTCAAAAGCAAATTGACTTCCTTGGACATGTCATCGAGGGAGGGCGGTCAAGATGGACCAACGAAAGATTCAGGCAATCACAGATTGGCCGCCGCCTAAGGATATCCTCGCCTTGAGGGTGTTCCTAGGCCTATGCAACTTCTACCGACGATTTGCGAAAAACTACTCCCTCATCGCAGTGTCATTGACAAAACTCCTCAAGATGGTCACGCCCTGGGATTGGGGACCCAAGCGAGCGGAGGCCTTCAAAGCATTGAAAGCGGCTATGCCTAGTAGCCCCGTCTTGGCCCTCCCTGATTTGGCCAAGCCATTTGAGGTACAAATGGATGTATCCGACTATGCCCTCGGCGGAGTCTTGCTACAAGAAGGGCATCCTGTAGCGTACGAGAGCCGGAAGCTGAAGGATGCAGAGCGGCGCTATGCCGCCCATAGAAAGAATTATTGGTTGTCGTCCACTGCTTACGCCTTTGAAGGTACTATCTACTGGGGACCCCGTTCGCGGTCAAGACAGACAACACAACTGTTAGCCATTTCATGACCCAGCCGAAGTTGAATGGTCGACAGGCCATGTAGCAGAAACTCCTAGCTGAATTTCACTTCAACCTGGAGCACCGAAGTGGGAAGACCAATCATGTTGCTGATGCGCTTAGTCGGAGAGCTGATCTAGCATCGGTGTGCCTACTTGCCACCCTAAGGGGGAGCGAAGTAGCCACCACCATCAAGGACCAGATACAGGATCTACTCATTAAGGATCCTACTGCACAATATTTGGTTCATTTGGTAGGACAGAGCAAGAATCGCCAGTTCTGCATGGAAGATGGTCTCCTGAAAGTGAAAGGGAACCGACTTTATGTTCATAAAGGAGGAGATCTGCGAAGAACTCTTCTGGCGGAATGTCACGATACTCTGTGGGCCGGCCATCCTGGTGAACAGCGCACCATGGCGTTACTTTGCCGTGTATATTATTGGCCTCAAATGGCCGATGACGTCGCTCAGTATGTGAAGACTTGTCTAGTATGCCAGAAGGACAAGTCGGACGCTTGACACAAGCGGGACTCTTGGAACCACTAGCTGTCCCAAAGAGACCTTGGGAGAGCGTTTCCTTGGATTTCATCACCGGATTGCCCAAGGTAGGAGATCTCACAACTATCTTGGTTGTGGTGGATAGGTTTTCCAAGTATGCTACCTTTATAGCAGCCCCAAAATATATATCAGCAGAAGATACACCTCAACTCTTCTTCTCTCATGTCGTCAAATATTTGGGCCTGCCCAAAGACATTGTTAGTGATCGCGACTCATGCTTCACTAGCAACTTTTGGACCCAACTCTTTAAGAGCCTTGGGTCAAAATTGAGTCACAGCTAAAGTTTTTATCCGCAATCTGATGGCCAGACGGAGCGGTTCAATGGTATGTTGGAGGAATATCTCCACCGCTTTGTAACCGGATCACATAAGAATTGGGTCAAGCTTCGAGATGATGCTCAACTGTGTTTCAATTCACAAATTAGCTCTAGTACAAACAAAAGCGCTTTTGAAATTGTTACCGGACAGCAACCGCTACTCCCACACACCGTGAATGCACCAAACATGTCTAAATCTCCTTGAGCTACTAGCTTCTCCAAAGAATGGAAGCGAAATTTGGAGATAGTGCAAAGCTGTCTTGTCAAAGCTCAAAAGCGCATGAAGAGGCATGCTGATCAGAATCGTCGCTTTGTTGAATACCAAGTAGGAGACAAAATGATGGTGAAAATCCCAAAGCGGTACTTGTTCGCCGGGGTCCATGACCCTCGCCTGTTGCTAAAATACATTGGACCCTTGTCCATTAAAAGGCGCATTGGGAAAGTTGCATACCGGGTGGATACCCCAGCTTGGTGGAAAATTCATCCCGTCTTCCATGTCAGCCTGCTGAAACCTTTTCAGGAAGACACAGAGGATCCTTCACGGAGCCAGCTCACAAACCCAGTATTCGAGGCCCCAATTTAACCGGAAAAAGGCGTGTTGAAGCTATCCTTGATGATAGAGTGATTCATGCCTCAAGGAAAGATCACCAAGAGTTCTTGGTGAAATGGCAGGGTTGTGATGTAGAGGAGAATACTTGGGAGAGGGGAACAAACTGCAAAGCCTACAAGAGCCTAATTGATGATTATCTTGCAAGTAAGGCGCCGAGGACGTCGCCAGCTCAGATGGGGGAGAATGTCATGGGCGGCTTTCCAGCCATGCCCCATGACCCTTGGGCGCGTCCCATGGCGTCTTAGCAAGCCTCTCAACGCCTAGCGCCACGGACGGCCCCGTGGTTCTTGGCTGCGCCAAGTGACAAGCGCGCATGTGCCTCTGTCGCCCCACCGATATCCCTCGCCAGCGCCCAGCCGCAGGCAGATGCCAACAGCGCCGCATGCGCAGACAACGCCGCGCGCACAGACCGTGATGCCAAAGACAATGTTGCTGACAACGGACATGTTTCTGCCTTGTAGAAAACTAAGTCATTTTCATTGTAAATATAGAGTAGTTTTATTTCATGTACTTCCATTATATTTCTCTACCTTAGTCAAGTCTATTCTTGTAACTTTGGTTTATTTTTTTTAAGCATTATTAGGGAGGATCAAGCAATCAAACTTTCTAGCGAGCAAACAATTCTCTATACTAGTGTCTCTCCCCCTCGACACCGCGTTGCTTTTCTGTAATAGCTTTCACTAATGCAATCAAGCTTTCTTTCATTCTCAATTCTCATTTTTGTTCTCTCAATTGCTCTTGACATTGGTTTTCCCGTACGACACTGGCAATCTCGTCTAGCGTAAAGAGGGGACCTTAATTGGCAGATAGTAACTGCACTGACATAAGTTGCTTAGCCTTACGTCGCCCTTCCAAGGAATCTCAGGAAAGCGCCGCGTAACAGGTCTCATGTTGATTTCAACAGAGATAAAAAATACTTACTACTTTTGTCTCATTTGTCTAAAGTCTTGGTGAACCGAATTTTCTCGTACTTTATTGGCGAGAGAAGTAATACGTACCTCATGAAATAGTCGAGTGGTCTTTGTACCGATAGAAAGTACCATGTAACCCACAAAACAATTAAAGTATGCGCAAACTAACACGAATAACATGATTATGAAAATTGTCCCTAGCTAAGGGATAGTGCAAGAGACTGTACTTATTGTAGCACGAATTTGAATTTTGATAATCTCTTGATTGTTGTTATCCCACTAACAAATTATTATGTTTACAAAAAAAAAAAAAAAAAAAAACCCTTGTGTTTGCAATAATATATTAGTACTACGAAATTGTCTGTAGATGTCGACATCATAATAATGGCATGAAAAGCAAAATGTGTACGTAGAATGTAATGCTAGGACGCAATGTTTTGGCTTGGAGGCCAAGCAAATTTGATCAATTGCGTTCGAGACCTGATGCTGTAAGCGTCAAACTCTCATTGGTGGATGGCTAATGGGACGGTCGGCGAATAAAAAGCAAATAAAACAGCTTTCTCATTGTGTTGCCGTTACATTTCAAACGTTACGAAAACACAATTCAATATTATATTATATATTCATAATTATTTTTTACATATATACATAAAAAATATCCTGGCAAAGAGAGTGTATGAGCCAACAAGGCCTGTTCTAGAATAATTAGAAAGAAGTCATTCTTTACGAAAGAAACTTAAAAAAACATGGATCATATAATATTGGAATAGATGGAATAATACGTGTATATATAACACATGAAGTAAGTAACCTAGTAAAAGAATGTGTAATTTATAGAAGTGGTACACGAGTAAATTATATTTTTACATAGTAATCTAATTATGTAAATAAACTTTTTTTAGTGGTCTAGAAAATATGAAATAATAATATTCAAGAATGTGATTTAGTGAACAATGAAATTCATATAGTGAAAGGATAATCGTAACTTAACAAATATATTCTTTTTGGTGATTTATTCTTATCTGGTTAAATAATAGTAGTAAATTAATATGTGCTAGCGGGGTAAGTAATTATTGAAATAGTTGAGGTGACGGAAACTAGCTCGAACATGATGTGTAAAAAAAATGTGGAAAAGAGAAAAAGAAAATGTGGAAACAAAAAACTAGGCCGCCGCCGTTGATCATTAGGTACAAGAAAGAAAAAAGATCTGAGGGGTAATTAGGTAAAACGACTAAAGTGCGGCACTAAGAGAAGCCCTAGCTCCACTCATCCTTCGCCTATAAATAGACCCCAATAACCCTCCCGGAAACCCTAGTACTCTCATTCATTTTCGCTTCTCCTTCTGCTGTGCGGCAACAGATCTATATTTGCTTTTAAGGTTAGATCTAATCGTCTTTCGTTTCTCTTCAATTTCTATAGACTTGTTATTAGCTTTGATTGATCTGATTCGTTCATACCTGTTTGATGATATCTTCATATGTATGTCTATACGATTACTATTTTAATTAAAAAAATACGCATGTTGTATGATTGGTGATCTAGACTACACATTCTTTGAGTTTGATGTGTTGAGCATTATCAGATTCAATAGATCATTGATTAGCTAGTAAGTTTTGATGTTTAGTAAGCTGTTTTGGTTTATTTTTTCACCATAAATCTCAACTCGATAATTGAAATTGCTTAATAGACTTTATCACCGGCTTGATTTTGATGATCATTAGTAATATCTGTCTAGATTTGTCATGCTTTTGCTGTGCACGTATGATCTGTTTATGATTCATGGATTAAAGAGTTACTGACACCTGGTGTTCCAATGACATATGACGTGTCTTCACATTCACTCTTTTTCACTAATCTGTGGTTAATAAATACACATGTTTACTTAATTTATTACTTAAAACCATAAATTAATATGGAATGGTGTAAACACTGGGTATGGTTACCAGTAATCAAATTTTTACTTAATGACCACATAAAACTGATGTCATAGTAGTTTTTATAATTGAAAATATTTTAAATTGTGTTAAATTCATAGCCAAAGAACTAACTAGATCATTCTTCCATTGTGTTTTATACTACTATATTCTCTAGTTCTTATTATCTCTTAGTAGAGATTCTTTTTGCTAATTAATTTTTGACCCAACATCCTATATTATTGGTTCTTGGTTCCTGAAGTGTATGTTTGCCTTTTTTCTGTGTGAGTTGTTGGATTGTTGTGGATACAGAACACATTATTTTTTAGCTGCTTTGGACATGTTATACCTGTTTTTTATGTGTGTATTGACTTGGAGACTTTATTATTGCAGTCTTTTTTACAATCAACATGGGTAAAGAGAAATTTCACATCAACATTGTGGTCATTGGCCATGTCGACTCTGGTAAGTCGACTACCACTGGTCACTTGATCTACAAGCTTGGTGGTATTGACAAGCGTGTCATTGAGAGGTTTGAGAAAGAAGCTGCTGAGATGAACAAGAGGTCATTCAAGTATGCCTGGGTGCTTGACAAGCTCAAGGCTGAGCGTGAGCGTGGTATCACCATTGATATTGCCTTGTGGAAGTTTGAGACCACCAAGTACTACTGCACTGTGATTGATGCTCCTGGACACAGGGACTTCATCAAGAATATGATTACTGGTACCTCCCAAGCTGACTGTGCTGTCCTGATTATTGACTCCACCACTGGTGGTTTTGAAGCTGGTATCTCTAAGGATGGACAGACCCGTGAACATGCATTGCTTGCTTTCACCCTTGGTGTGAAGCAAATGATTTGCTGCTGTAACAAGGTTTGCTTATATGTTTAGTGGCTTTGTAATTGAAGATTGCTCTGTGTTTGCTAACCAGCTTTATTCCTTGTGCAGATGGATGCTACCACCCCCAAGTACTCCAAGGCTAGGTACGATGAAATCGTGAAGGAGGTTTCTTCCTACCTCAAGAAGGTAGGATACAACCCTGACAAAATCCCCTTTGTCCCCATCTCTGGTTTCGAGGGTGATAACATGATCGAAAGATCAACCAACCTTGACTGGTACAAGGGCCCAACTCTTCTTGAGGCTCTTGACCAGATTAATGAGCCCAAGAGGCCCTCAGACAAGCCCCTCAGGCTCCCACTTCAGGATGTCTACAAGATTGGTGGTATCGGTACTGTCCCTGTTGGTCGTGTGGAAACTGGTGTCATCAAGCCTGGTATGGTTGTGACTTTTGGTCCCACTGGTCTGACTACTGAAGTTAAATCTGTTGAGATGCACCACGAAGCTCTTCAGGAGGCACTTCCCGGTGACAATGTTGGATTCAATGTCAAGAACGTTGCTGTTAAGGATCTCAAGCGTGGGTATGTTGCTTCCAACTCCAAGGATGACCCAGCTAAGGGTGCTGCCAGCTTTACCTCCCAAGTCATCATCATGAACCATCCAGGACAGATTGGAAATGGATATGCTCCAGTGCTTGACTGCCACACCTCCCACATTGCTGTCAAGTTTGCAGAAATTTTGACCAAGATCGACAGGCGTTCTGGTAAGGAGATTGAGAAGGAGCCCAAGTTTTTGAAGAATGGTGATGCTGGTATGGTTAAGATGCTTCCCACCAAGCCCATGGTTGTTGAGACCTTCTCTGAGTACCCACCATTGGGACGTTTTGCTGTGAGGGACATGCGTCAGACTGTTGCTGTTGGTGTTATCAAGAGCGTTGACAAGAAGGACCCAACTGGTGCCAAGGTCACCAAGGCTGCTCAGAAGAAGAAATGAATGTTGCAGTTCAATTCTGGTGGTACTCGTGATATCTACTACAATAAAGTGTGTTATGGAGACATTGTTTTCTCTGCTTGTGATGTTTTTGTTCCGTCTTTAATGTGGTTCTTAGGTTCTAGTTTTCTGCCTTGTATGACTGGTATCCGCTCCCAGAGTTGGGTGCTTGACAGGCGGTGGCGAGAAAAACTTTGTTGAGTCTGTCTGCATTTTCTTTTGAGGTGCCTTGGTTTTCCAAGGTGGCTCGGAAGTTTTGTTTGTTATTGCTTAAGATACTTATTTCAAAGTTATTTATTTTTGTGTTGAACATGTCTTCTTATTTCTATTGTCTGGTAGTTTTATATCTATAGCTTTACAGGTACTTGCTTTCTCTTGGATCTTGGTTTAACTTGTTACCTTCCTTAGAGTGTCCTGTAATTGGAAGGGAGCTCAGTCATGATAGATTGGAACTCTAGCCCCAGGTGTTGGTGCTCTCAATCAAACTTTAGTTCCTTAATTGAGTAGGGTCTAATTCTCTATAATCTCAGGTATAATGCCGTGAGATTCATCTCTTGTATTGTCTTTTTCTTTTGCTAATTTGTCTTTTCTTGTTTTCTCTCTCTTCCCCGAATATGTTCTGGAGATCTTCATTGCCAATAGAAATTTTTTTCTTGTTGGAATCCGTGAAATCAAATTTAAGTAAATTCCTCGGCTATTTGATCGGTCTTCTGTTTAAGGGTTCAAGGTCAGGCAATTAAATTATGGATATGCATCTGCAGTTTCAGTTAACAGTGTGGCTCAGATATCCTTGTATAATGCAATCGAGAATAGGAAATATATTTATTTGGTTGAATAAATTCTTTTCAGTTGGACCCAAAAAAAGAGTTCATGAATATATATATATATATATATATATATATATATATATATATATTCCCCATATGACCAATAGCTTAGCATTGAAGCTACCAGTGTTGTGCTCTTTCATTTGACCTACGAGAGCCATATGTATTTCTGTTTACAACTAGCAAAGGAAGGTCTTGGAGATAACCAGATTAAGAGAATTAAATCTATGAGATTTGGACCAAGTACGAAAAAGGTGTAACTCTCTTTCTTTAGCATAGTCCAATGCTTAACGTGTGTGTGGCTCGAGCATCTTTTCTGGATTTTGAATTGAGGCTATTGACCTTAAGTAACATATAAAATAAGCCTCAAGAATAATGGAGTAACTCCAAGATGGTTTTTACCTCAAAAGAATAGTTGAAACTGGATGGTGAAGTAAAAACAAAGTGATAACATAATGAAGTTTGTTAGTGTGCATAATCACGTATAAGAATTCTTATGTAGGGATTGCTATGGGTTTCTTTTTCATTTATTGGGGGGTCTTTAGTTACCCTTATATATGTAATGCAAATACAATACATGTATTCTTATTTGACGTTCTATTATGTTGAAAATATACACATTTTCTTATAAAACTTATGCACGTATTAGCAATATGGAGTTCAGAATGAGGCCAACCACATGCTGTATTGGGTTACGCGACAATTATTTTTTTCCTGTACGACCAACCAAACATTGTATATAACTTACGTGGAATTTCATGCTAGGATATATCTTTAATGCGATACATCAAACGACCCCTAGAAGTTGCAGTTGAGTACTAATCCTGAATAGCTTGTTGAGAGAATGTATTCATGTAGCCGGATTACAACAAACCTGGTCTAACTACAAGCCTAGCTTGTTAGAGCCCCATGAGTTGAGTAACAAAAAAATTCAACCTTGTGATAGTTCAAAAATCATCAAGATTGTTTTTGTTCTTAGATCAGAACACAATACTTATGCACGAACTGTTTAGGAGTGAACGGTTGAATTTGTTTTCCCAAAGTAGCAGGCTACAGCATAACAGTTAGGTAGTCACAAGTTGTGACTCACAACTAAGTATGATTTTTGTGTTCTGGGGGCAGAACTAGGTAGGAAAATTCTTAGGGGAAATGAAGACAAATTATTCTGACTGTTCCTCATCACTATAAGTATATGCATAATAATTCTAAATCCTGGCATGAGCTCAAAGTTAACAACAAGGCATTACTGACTGGTTGAATGCACAGGAGAACCAAGGGATATGGTGAACAATAGTTACTTCAACATTGTATAAGCTATGAAACAACAAACTGAAGCCAATAGTTGGGAGCAGTATAGTATTTATCTTGGATTCCTTGTGTTTTGGTTACATAGAAACAGTTTGCGGACAAAGATGTTTTTCCTGACACAAAACTTGAGCAAAACAAAAACAAGAACTCTGTATGCGACGGCCATAAGAAACAATACTAATAGATTTTTCCACTTAGAGTTGCTGTTAGTAGATATGTCGTATAAATTTTGCAAAGCTTGATTTCCAGATATGGTCCTCACCTGACCAACTGCGAAAGAGGTTTCAATGTACTCGTTCTCCAAGAGTCCCTGAAACAAAGATACAGATCTTAGATATACAAAAGAGATGACCAACTGATGATCAAGTACATGCATTTGAAAGAATTTATAGCCAACTATTCAGCCGATATCAAACTTACCTGGATAGAGTAAGTATGAAAAGCTAAATACGAAACGGGGTACATCCAAACTGGTCCAGGCAAAGCACTTCTGATTCTTAAAAAGCCAGCGGAAAGAATCATTATCACCTGAAATACACCAGATACATTTGAAAGAAGCCAGATGTGAAATCAAATACATCCTAGAAAGGGAAAGATCTCTCTTTAACAGATGGAAAAAAGGAAAGATCTCAAGTATAAGAACCCTATACATCAGTAAACGCAAAAGCAATAACTTCAGAGAGATCCAACTCCCCCGATTCCCTTGTCAGGACATAGAACCTTATAACGTAGTAGAAACTCATACAGCTTCCATCACTGAAATATGTAAACTTCATTCCAGGTAAATAATGTCTTCAATATATTAAGTTTTGAGATGGAACTCACATGTATGGCCACCAAAGTTAAGATGCTCCAGAAGATATCTTGCCAAATGGAAGTAACAGCCAGTACCAATCCTTCATTTACCAATAGACATGTGAAGAAATTCAGCACGAAATACATTAGCAAGCTGAACTCATCCCGCAGCCCAACAAGAAAATAGAAGACGAGACTTGACGAAATGGAGATGAGAAACAAGAAAGGAATGCTGGCAAAAAGTTGCCCAAGTAGGAAAAGAGATGCCCCAGAATGCAGGTTTGATTCTTCGCAGGCATACATCTGCATATAATGGAAACAACTTGATTAGCTTTTTGCTTGTTTCCTTTCTTTTGAGCTGGATGACCAAAGTACAAACTGCCCTACATCAGGATGAAAAACAAAACCAAACTTATACAAAACAAGTAAAAAGTGTTTAGTTCAATTGAAGGACAGGTTAGATATGCACTGTACTAATTATCCTGCTTCCAGGGAGAATAGTTAAGACCTTAATGCCACAAGGCCTTTGGCTTTACTAATTGAGCTGAGTCTCATTAGTACATGATTAGATTATTAATCCACACAATGCATGTGTGTGATACAACTCACATGAAAGCAATGTTTCCATGAATATACTACATGGAAATGAAGGTATAGTATTCAGGGGCGAAGGCACGTTGAGCCGAGTGGTGTCATCCGACACCATTTGGCCAGAAATTTTATTCATTTATATACATGTAAATAATCTGCAAAAGAAAATATTTCTAAATATAACTAAACGCCACCACTTAACATAAGAGCTATGGTGGCCCGCTGGTGAAATGCTCCAATTTCTACTTGTGAGTCAAGCGTTTGAATCCTCGCTAGATTAACGGTTTTCTTTTCTTAATTTTTTAGCATTCTTCTGGAAAAATATAGGAACCAGCAGGCAGCAGGCCTTGAACCTTCGTCGGTTTACCGAAAATGTATTAACTAAACCAACCAAGCCACCATCCATTATTAATGTGCATGCCACCGCCAAGAATAAACAATTCGAATCTACCAACTTCTTACCTGTAAAGGAGTAATCGAACAAACTGACAGGCCATGAAATTGATCAAAGCAGACTTATGGAATCGAACGGATGATGAGCTATTGAGTGAATGTTTGGTGTCTTATACAGAAAAAAAAATATTTAGCAATATTTTTACTGAGTCTGTTATGGACACATTTCAAAGGATGAAAGCTCGTCGCGGAGAATTGAGTACTGTATCTGAATTGTATTTTTGTAAAATATGATCTGGTTAAAGTGATCTATGCATTTGTACTCTTTAAATTTTGACACCGCTACCATACTATTCTAGCTGCTTTAGGGATGCAAGTTCAAAAGCATTCTTGTTTGGCCTGATGAATTTTAGCCAGGAAATTGACTTGAAGCAACATGCCGGGAAAGTTTATATTGTTATATGAATATATGGAGATACTTCACCTGGGCGGAGAATCCTAGTTCTGAAATTTTTAGTCGAAAACCTTCAAGCAAATATTTCTTGATATTATTCCCCTAAAATCTTATACAAGTATATCACTGGAGCTCATAACTTCACAACTTTAAGCGATCATTTAGTTTGCATAAAGATGATAGAAATAGTGGAAAATAACCTCTAGCATTTCGGATACAGAAATTGAAACACAGAAATAAAAGATAACTATAGTGTTGGGGCTGTAATATTGAACTTGAAATTCCAGGGAATTGAAGAAGGAACTGAATAAAAAATTACTTGTCTTGACGAAAATGGCAATGGCCTACTAAGGAGTAAGGACCACAAGAGGATAATTACAGTCTACAGCTCCCCTATCACGCAGCCCCTTATGTTCAGAAGACATGCATTTCTCGTATTCATTTCCAACAAGAAATCAGTATATGTGCAATAAGTTCTATGTATCCTGGTGTGCCATCCAAAAGAAACACGGAAAAGTTATTTGAATCACCTTGATTTCTTTCATTTGTGCAGGTACACTGGCAATGCTCAATAGAGAGGTGAATGAAACAAATACAAAAATTGCAGCTACTCTTGTCTGCATGGCAATAACGATGTCAAAGTTCAAATTAGAAAAATAAGAAAAAAATGAATAGCAAAAAGTTATCATGAGCAGAACATCTAACAGTATAATGGAGAAGCTCAGTCCATAAATGAACAAGTAAACGTGGTTTTGGAGAAATACATGCATTTTTTGGACTACATAAGATTATATGTTTCAGTAAGACATATAGAAATGGAAGTTGCATTGGCAAACAAAAGATAATATTTTAGGTAGCCAAGCTTCTCGGAAGATGACATGCCTATATATATCATATAACGCACCACTGAAGCAGGAAAAACAAAAGGAGAAACGGACATATCTAA